ATTTGATTGTCATCATGTATAACGTTAGCAAAAGTAAATTATTCAAATAACTTCAAACGCTCTTCACAGGAGATTCCGTTATGAGATTCGATTAAATTAGAGGAATTTATGAAATTTGATTTTAAGTTCCATGACATTAAAAGTTTATTTCAATATCTAACCGTGTTTGAATTTCTAAGTTACCATATAAATGATTACTTATTTAGTATTTACAAGTCACTATTTGGTCACTATTTCCATAATTTTAGTCACTAAAGTCACTACTATTATATCGCATCAGCATCGGAAATCATTGACTATTGTGGTCCCATTGAAAGCTATCGAATATTTTTGGAATCGGTCAACTGGTTCCGGAGATATGGCCGGAACAAGTTCCAGGGTATATGGAACATGGACCTAATTTTGACATGGAAGGAATAAAACCTATCACATTACTTCCAAATCCGATAACAAGATCAATAACAAAATTGAGTGCCTTTGACCACATTATTGGCTACTTCCAGGCATGTTCTGGGATGCCCCCGGGGAATTTAGGGGCTTAAAATGACAGAATATCAGAACTTAATTCCGGTTTTATAGTTCTTTTTCTCCTAGGAGTTTCAGTTGGCAATTTTTAGTTTGTTAACATTTTATTTCAAGTTAATTCACACACAGAAGGTGTATGAAAAGTGCTTAATGTAAATTCATATTAACAGATTCCTTCGGCGCTTTCGTGGTAGCTCGGAAATCGGTGGTTACCCTTTCAGCCAACCTGACGATGGAATTCCTCCTTTAAATTTACGCCCAACTAGTGACGCAAGGTCTTTAGCAGCTTCCAAGCTCTTTTTGGTCGTCTTGGGACTGCCACAAGCAGCGCATATACAAACCCAATCCACTAGCTGGTTCTCCAAATCAACACTCAACACTATTTCCCTTCCATATTTCTTACCGTGGCTTCCCTTAATTTTTGCGTGAAGTGTCGTTTTCGGAATATTGTACCTTTTCTGTGCCTGATACGCAGTAAGTAATTAATTTCTTACTAAAAGAACAGTCTCTTTTTGATCGCGCACGGGCGGGATCCCTACGTTGTGTTGAGTTTTGTGATAATTATGAAGACGGATAGAACTAAAACGCACCGATTGCTTCGCCGTTCTGCCATGGCGGAGGCATACGAGATACTGTTTATTGTATTTTATATTGTTTTCTAGAATCGTACAGTGGGTAGGGTAGTGGCACATATATTCGGCGATGCACAAACACTTTTCTTTAGCCATTTTTTTCAATCGAAGAAACTGATCACTCGGCCAAAACGAAATCGAATTTCAAATCAGCTACGCATGAAGGATGTAGACAAACCGAAGCGCACCTAGCGGCTGTCTTAAGAAACACATAGGTTCAACCATCATCATACGTAGGTCCAACCATGATCATATTTATCTATTTGAATTTCGTCAATTATTCAAACATTTTAGTGAAACCAATGGATATTACTGCATGAAAATAAAAATAAATGTAAAAAATACCTATTCCTTTTTTGTATGATTGAAAGTAAGGCATGATGACGAGCTAATGCGTGGAAAGTGAACTGTTTTGAAAACACATTGAAACTCAATTGTTTTGAAGTTTTTTTTTCAATAAAAAAGTAGAAGGGTCTGTGTCTAGGGCCACGAACGGAAGCTTGACGTAGGACCGCTAGTGGACGGAATAAATGTGAAGAGCATTTAGTTCTTTTAATTGATCAATTATCTATTATCTCAACTCTTTCCGTTTTTGAACTGTAGGCGTACCAAATTTGTAGTAATCTTTTTCAAAGAGAAAGTTGATTAAGAGAATCAATCAAAATCACTTGCACCCCGCTTCCAAGTTTGGTTACAAGATTACAACTCTGGAGAGCATTTTGTGTGGTCGTTGGGGGCTTGTGGTTCTGAATATGGACAAACAAGCACAGATATATTCCAACTCTTTACTGATGTAAGCTTGATGGTCCTGAAAAGGGCCGTTTTATTGAAGAGGACATCCATGGCCACTTACGCTTGGCGTGTTTAGTGTAGGTGACAGCATCACGGACCTCATTTTCCTGGAACACCTTCAGCACACCTCGTAGATCAGACCGGAGATATGTTTGACACCACCACGGCGAGCCGGACGACCGATGGCCGTTATCTCGAAGAACTTTGCGATGACGCTTGGCGCCTCCTTTGAGACCTTTTCCTCCTTTGCCACGACTAGTCAATTGTTGCTTGTTAGGTGTGAAGGAGTGGACTAGCCACCACCTTCCTACTGCTGCTATTGCTGTTCACCACGCCGTCCGAAGCGAAAATGAGCTAATGCCCAGCGCTCTTTTATATCTTTTCAGGTTAAAGCAGAATGATGTGCAACCAAGTGGTATAAAAGCTACAAAGACTCCTCCCATTATGAGTAGTTGGCTATCAAGTAGCGACACTGGCTCTTTTCCTTTTGCATACACGGCGAATGAGAACGACCCAAATTTGAGTTTAGTTCACTCATAATCGCCAAAAGTGCAGAAACTCAGCGATGAGTAAATTTGTCTCATGGTTTCCTGTGGAAAACCTAAAAAATCTGCCAGAAAATGAGGAAATTGACGAAAATTTTATTCAGTCTCGGAGTAGTACCAATAGACTGAGTAAATCCAATCTTTACTTTTCTCAAATTCGGTAATTTTTCCCTGGAAAATCCTGGAAAAACCTGGGAAAACATGAGGCAAATTTACTCATCGCTGAGTTCATGCACTTTATTTCTTATTTCTGAGATAACTAAACTCAAATTTGGGTCGTTCTAATTCGCCGTGATATCACCTTGAAAGATATCGGCGCCGGTGGTTAGCGTTATTACCTCTCACCCCAGCAGGCCTGGGTCCAATCCCAGTCGGCGCCACCGGCATGTTCTAAGGCATAACATCTCTGATCACGCCTTCCTTCGGGAAGTAAAGCCGTTGGTCCCCGGTTGAGTTGATGGGTCGATAGGTAGGGTCCAGGTGTGGGAGCGGTAGCATTGGAGCTCAGTACGGAAACAAATCTCGCGTCGTTTTTCAATAGGTCCTATCTACATTGATCGATACTCCTCATCGACACTCTCTTTCGTAAATAGCTCGGCTTCACAAATGTTTCCTGCCGTCTTCGTCGAATTTAAAGCTAGATTGTTGCTTCTTCCATCGAAAATATCCGGCCGTGGCGATTCAAAGTTGATCAAGGTTGTTCAAAATAATTTGTACCCCTGCTTCCAGTTTGATTACATGAGCATTTTGTGTGATCGTTGGTTCTGAATATGGATAATCAAGTAGATGGATTCTATTCCTACTCTTTACTGTAATAACCTTGGTGGCCCTGAAAAGAGCCGTTTTGTTGCCAAAGTTGGTGATGACTTAACCTCCGAAACCAAACAGAGTGCGTCTCTGTCACTTAAAAACGTAGATGACATCCATGACCGCTTACGCTTGGCGTGTTTAGTGTAGGTGACAGCATCACGGATCTCATTTTTCAGGAACACCTTCAGCACACCTCGTAAATCAGACCGGAGATACGTCAGACACCGCCACGGCGAGCCAGACGACGGATGGTGGTTATCTTGAAGAATTTGCCTTGGGTTCTGAATATGGCGATGAGTGTGCAAAATATTACGCAATTCCATCCTCCCTATTCGCACGCGCCCGAAGATCGGAGGCGAATGCCACTTCGACTTGTTTCGTCTACTTACTACTCTCTGACGACTGTGCTGGGGAAGCAGTATATGCATGTAGGTAATTGGTGGATTTGTTAGTTAATTCGACGCTTTTGGAAAATGCTGGAGATTTACCAGTTTTTCAATAGTTTCTTGTTGAAAATCAACATTCGGAAGCATTGTTATCGATGCGTAGCCGTATTTTGATCGATTGGTGATAAAATTATTGAAATTGGACCAGGGGCAGCTGAGTTATTAACGTTCAAAATCTTTCTTAATTTGTTACATGTTCCATTTTCGGTTTTCACAAAGTGTACCCCCATATAGAAATCAAAGACGTAGTCCTACATCAAAACCCATGCAAATTGAAGAAAAAGAGTTTTTTATGATAGTAAAATGATCTTTGAAAAAAAAAACGAAGATTGACTAAACTAGCGATTGAAAAAATAGGTCCAACCATCATCAGTTTTTGGATAGGTCCAACCAGAATCAATTACCCTACTTACTTCTTCAAAAGACGTGCCTTCCACAATCCATCCCTACTCCGGTTACTTCAAATCCCATTTGAAAAGAACGAACACAAAATCAAAATAATGTTTGGTTAATGCTTTAGGGGTCGAGTATTGATTGAGTCTCCTTCATACATACGACGTAGGTACGGTGCGTCTGCTTGGCTGATACACAACCACCGCGTTACATTTCAATCGCGACGAAAAACCACCGATGCCATATTTCACTGCGCACTTCTTTCGGTTATTTATTGCCATAACCAGATGGTAAAATTAGCATTGAAAACCCTCTGCAATACGGGGGGAGTTTAGACCATTAGCTCGTTCGGGGAAATGTGATCGCATTACCATTTTGGTCTCGTGGGCTTCGGAGTTGGTGCGCAAAAATTAGGGATGGTGGAAAATCATGGTTGATGCTCCTCACAATTCCGAAGAACTTCGAGATTAGGGCGTAATTGCTTTTGTAAACAAACACGCCAATCACCGATTTCTCGCAAATTAAAGCTCAATCTTAAAAACTAATAACACATATAGGTAGATGAATGATTCTTATTTCATTAGTTTGTTCGTGAGTTTGATTTTTGTATTCGTGAGAAATCAGCGATTGACGTGTTTGCTTTCAAAAGCAATGACGTCCAAATCTCAAAGTTCTCCGGAATTATCTAATGTGAAATGAAAAAAATAATTTTCGATCAGCCCTAAATTCTTATTTATTATGAAGTTGAAAAGATCACAGTAGTCTGAGGCTGAAAATGATGGTTCCAATTTCAGCAAAAATATTGAAGAGTTTTATTTTGATACAAATTAACTGTTTATTAAATCTCATTGAGTAACATGAATCGAACCACAGTGGATATCGTCGAAGAAGGAACAGAGGAAGTATCGCTTAGTGAGGAGCAACAACAACCTCAGAGGCAGAGATACAGCAGTGAATCAATCGCATGTCGGATTTGTCAAAGTGCCACAGGAATGTCCCGGTAAACCGTTAATCATCAACCGTATACATTTCATACTTTTTCACACAACATTGTACACACAGAGTTCCAAGCTAGGACTCTCAACCAATTAAGATAATCTGGTTTGCATGGGTGTCTGTGCGTTCAAATATTTAATTAACGCTCTGGAAAACCCAATTTCCACATTCTCATTTCCGAGTAATTTTCCATTCTAAAAGACACAACTGGCCGCGCCCGGTAAACATATGTATCCATCCACAGCAAGTACAAACACATAGAATTAAGGATAAGCCACATAGCACACTCCGGCTCCGGTTCCAACTAAAAGAGTCCCATTTTCTCCAGTTCTCTGGGTTAAGATAGATGGTGGTTCTACAAACAAAAGCTAGAGGAAACGCAACCGCATCCGGACAAACTGCACGCTGGCCAACCATACATACACATTCCTACACACCTTCAGTTAGTTCAAAGAAACTGAGGACACGACTCAGTGCGCAATGGTCACTAGCCCACTGAAAACGCTTTTCTGCTATTTTTAATTACAGTTTAATCTCGCCCTGCCTGTGCAAGGGATCGCTTCGCCATGTACACCGAGATTGCCTGGAGCACTGGCTGAGCCGGTCCGGACTTACACACTGTGAGCTGTGTTTACATAGGTATCAAACGTACACGACGCTAAGGTAGGCTGGTACTGTTTCACTTATTACAACTACGGCTGCTACTGGGTTGGGAGGGGGGTCTAGCATTCCGATACTCACTCTCACTCTCGGCGACTGCTGTTCTGGTGGTCGGTTGGCAATTAGACTCGGTAGGATGACCGTTTCGTTGGTCGCTTTCAGATATTATGGTCATGGAGCCGTGATTGTAGGTTACAGTGCTGGCAGGTAGGAATGTGAGTTTTTGATATAAATGCTAAAATTGATGGAGTTGCTAATGAACCGAAAATATCGTGAATATCGTGGTGGCGATTGGTAGCGCAGAAAGATCAAAGAACATAGGGGAATTTACGTATTCTCGTCAATCTAAGCAGCGTCCGCACTTCTATTAGCATTTTCACAGCGTCACGCACATATATGACGTGTCTGTTTGTTTCAATTCATCTGCTGCTTGCTTCTCTATCCATTCCAATCGACAGAATTCTTCAAAACTGTTTGAAAGCGTTTTTACAACGCTCTAAACTTCTCAGGTGAGTGTGACTATTGTCGGCAGCCTCTTTTTCTTCGGCAACCTTCCCATTAGAACTGCGTGTTAACCAGCTGTTCTATTATCGGCAACTCGAAATCAGCCCCATTTTGTATTACGTATGCTTCATTTGAAGAAAAATCTGGCATAAAAGGATTGCTCGGTCCTACAAATATAATCAGATTGAAGCTGAAAGACTAAAGAATCATTTGGATACATTCAGGGAAGTGTGTTGATGGTAAAACATAGTGAAATTAACGTTTACATTTTGATTGCCGAAAACAGTCAATGGGTGCCGAAGCCGACATTTACCCTATTTCCAGATAGGGGAATTTACGTATGCTCGTCAATCTAAGTAGCGTCCACATTTCTATTAGCAATTTCCCAGCGTACAATATGACGTGTTTGTTAGTTTACATTTACCTACTACTTGCTATTCTATCCATTCCAATCAACAGAATTGTCCGAAACGGTTTGAAAACATGTTTACACCGCTCCAAACTTCTCAGGTGAGAGTGACTATTGTCGGCAACCTCTTTTTCTTCGGCAAGCTGTCCATTTGAAATGCGTGTTAACCAGCGTATCGGCCACGGGAATCAGCCGTATGTTGTAGTGCGTAAATTTCATTTGAAGAAAAACTTGTCATGTCAAGTTTTTCTTGAAGATTGCTCAGTCTTAAGAATGTAATCAAATGGAAGCTAACATCGACATCGTAGAGCGGTGTTGAACGAATTAGTCATACATCTGCACTCAAATTGCTCTAACTTTTGATCCATTGGGTAAAATTAATTGAAATTTTGCGTACACATAGTTTAATGTGTATTGTTTACACTCTCAAAGTTGGGAATCACGAATTCCACGGTGTATGGTATCATAAAACGGTTCGCAGAACGTCTGACTGTTGATCGGAAGCGAAGATCCGGAAAATAAAGCCGTCAGGTCAACGAGAACGATCACAAACGCGGGGTTGGGGACTTTGAACGGAAACCGAACGCCTCAGTTCGAGATGTGGCTAAAAAGTTGCATGTGAGCAAGACTTTCGTGCAGAATACCAAAACTCGGGCTGGACTACGTACGTTTAAGGTTCAGAAGCCCCCAAACCATGACGAGAAACAGAATACGGTCGCAAAAAGCCGTGCCAGGAAGTTGTACGGCCAGAAATTAACGAAACCACACTGCTGTGTAATGGATGACGAGACATATGTGAAGGCGAACTTCAAACAGATTCCAGGAAACCTGTATGTGACTACCAAAGATAAGTGTGATGTTCCCGAGAACCTCCGAACACAGAAAATGTCAAAGTTCACCAAGAAGTTCTTAATTTGGCAAGCGATTTGTACTTGCGGACAGGTGTATTTGGAATAGTGTCTCCAAAAGCGGTTTCTCCCTCTCCTGAAGGCTCACAACGGTCTGACAATCTTCTGGCCGGATTTGGCATCATGCCAGGTCGTGCTAGAGCGGTATATGGCGAATTATGTCGATTTCGTGCCGAAAGATGTGAACCCTCCAAACATCCCTCCCCTTGGCTAATTTTTAACCTGGACGTTGATGAACGGGCCTAATCTTATTCTTCATAGTGGATCGTTGGAGACGGTTGGTTTAGGTTCGGCATCGTTGGCTCATGCCGTGGCAGAATAGCGTCATGAGCATGCGCTGAGGATTACTAAGCTTCCCCTCTCTGATGAACCATTGCATGAGAGAACCAAAGTTCTAGCCTGAAGTGATAGTATCACACCTGTTACTCCTTTTTTAAAGAGCCGCGTCATAGTACGCTTACGTATAGGCACTGACGTTGGATGCGATACTGGCGGGTTTTTTCTTCCGCTAATCACTTTTATTTTATTTATTTTTACACAGATTGCATTGGATTTGCACGGGAAATATTGATATATTTTTTTGAACATGGTATTTTAACTAATCTTATATATGCTTCATTTTGATTTGGGATAAGTGTTAGAACTATGGCTCGGGATTTCCACTGTGCCGTCCTTCTATTTTCACATATGCGTACGTAATTTTGTGGGACGACATAGTGGAAACGTGTGAGCGTAGTTGGAGCATACACTCTACATAATTTAAAAATCAGCTAGGAAACTAACTTCAAAGTGAAGTATTTTAGTCACTTGAATAAGTCACCTGGGACGAACTAATATATAATAAATATAGGTCAAAGTCAAAAACAACATGAAACACGTTAAATTTTAAATAACATGCACAAATGCAGGTACTTAATAAAGCATTGATTAGGTAGAGATTTCAATTATTTATTAAAAAAGGCTGAGATATCATAATCATCAAACGAACTTATATTAGAAAATTTAGACATGGTTGGTTGCTTTAAAATATCAATTTGGTATGTATGTGAAAGGATGAATCAGTGGGAGATATATTTTCGGTTTCTTTACATTTTGCACCACAAATCTAGTACTATGTGTCATTTCCTCAAAACCCCCCAATTACCGACCTCTTCAATCCCTTCCTTTTCCCATGGCGTACAAGTGGTCCGCATAGACTATTCAGCCATTGCCCTTCTTTTATCCTCGGCTTTGGATTAGCTTCCGCGCTTATTGCCCCACCAAACGCTGCAAAATGAAAATGAAAATAAATGTTTCTAAGTGTGTACTTTTGACGTAGAACTACGTCTTTGTCGACTATACTGGAGTGCCAATCAAAAAATATGTAAGGTGAAATAGTGTTAGGTTTGTCATTTATAGATGAAACTAAAATCCAAATACGCCAATCGATAGGATATTACATTACGAACCTGGTGAAATAGTTTTTCAATTTTCCGTAATAAAACTTTTGAAAAATGTACAAATGATAATTTTATCACTGTTTTCATGAAATAAGCGTTTTTTTTCCCAAACCCAGTCATCATAATAGAGTACCACTTGTTTGCACATCGTATCTGAAAAGATATAAACCAGCACTGCTGTCGCGCTTCTGCTCAACACATTCTATGTTTGATCGTCAAGCAGTTCAGTTCGATGTGAGCTCGCTCGCTTTAGTTGTTCGCAAAGTTTTTTTTTTTTTTAGTTAGTGTTCGCGCGTGTGCGTGTATGTGTGCCCCGTAATGGGGAAGCATCCGTCGCGAAGCCCGGCGAAGGTCCAGAACCCCGGTGAAGGAAGCTCCGGTGTGCCTACCTCGAACAGGTTTGCTGTTCTCCCCATGGATGGGAATATCCATCCAGCTGTGTTGGAAAAACGCAGCAAGAAGAGGAAGAAGAATCGAGGCCAGTCCGTTGGCACGATTGGTCGAGACGATGCTTCTGCGACGAACGGAGATTTCAGTGACGCTACCGATAAAGAAAATGCTGCCGTCATGAGCGCGGCAAGAGTGAAGCTACCTCTGCTGGTAGTGAAAAATGCCCATCTCAACGAGCTCATCGCGGATCTGGCGTCGCTGGGCGTCAAAGCCGAATTCAAATTGGGCAGAGTCGGTTTGTCATTTATAGATGAAACTAAAATCTCCGTACCAAAGCGGAGTATGACTTGGTAATCGCCCACCTGAGGACTTCCAAGGTGGAATTCTTCACCCACGACATCCCCGGTGAAAAATCGTTCAAGGTCGTCATTAGGGGCCTACCAAATTTCGACCTGAACTTTATCGAACATGAAATCAGGGACCGGTACAAGCTGGTCCCAAGTGCCGTGCATCGAATGACAAGAAGAGACGAGAATGTGAAGGCGTATCCGGATAGCCTTTTCCTGGTACACTTCCAGAAGGGAACGGTGACGCTCAACGCACTGAAAGCCATCCGGTCCATCAATTTCATCATCGTCCGCTGGGAGCCATACCGTGGCGGCCATCGCGATGTGACTCAGTGCCAACGGTGTCTGAACTTCGGACACGGCACCCGCAACTGCAACATTAAGCCACGCTGTGGCAATTGCGCTCAAGACCACGCCACTTCCTACTGCCGAAAGCCGATGGAGCCGTGGCGTTAAAATGCGCCAACTGTGGTGGTGCTCACCAAGGATCCAACAAGCAGTGTCCTAAACGCGAAGATTTCAAGCGCATCCGAAACCAAGCGTCCACCAGCAATCAACCAGCACGAAGGAAGGATAAGGCCCCGGCTTTCAGGGCGGAGGACGTTCCGCCTCTTCATGGACAAGCGAATCCAAGGGTGCAATCCGCGCCCCCTCAAGAAACGTCTGGATCTTCTGCTGGACAAAGCTCTAAATCCCCCCTGGATTCTGAAGGCAACCAACAGCTCAAACAAATAATCCCGATCTGTTCTCAGCAGATGAACTGATGGAGATTTTCATCAACATGACCGGTGCTCTACGTAAGTGCCGCAATAAGCCCGAACAGATCCAAGTGCTCGGTAAGTTCATCATCCAATGTGGTGTTTAAACCGCTAACCATCGCTACCTGGAACGCTTGTTCCGTAAGAGCTAAACAGATTGAGTTTGCCGACTTCCTCTGCAAGCATAGCATCGACGTGGGTCTTCTAACCGAAACCCACCTAAAGTCCGGTGACAGGTTCTGGTTGCCTGACCACAACATTATCCGGCTTGATCGCACCAGCTCGATGGGGGGGGGGGGGGGGGTGTAGCGGTCATCGTCAGAAAGGGAATCAAGTTTTGTACTCTGCCTTACCTGTCTCAGCTCCGACCACCAACCGGTAGTGACTGAAGTTGGTGTCAACGTGGTTCCTGCTAGAAGCTGCCTGCGTAAAGACTACCACCATGTCAACTGGGTGCAGTACGGTCGAATGGTGGACAGCAACATCGATGAAAATCCACTGCTCGACACCGTAGATGACATCGACCGGGAGTAGGAAGGACTCCAACAGGCCATATCCGAGGCTGACGAGACGTGCGTTCGACAAGTTCCTGTGAGGGGTAAGTTTGTTGCTATTGATTCCCACACCCAATTATTGATTCGATTGAGAAATGTGCGTAGACGCCAGTTTCAGAGGACTGGAGATCTGGGCAAAAAACGTGAAATGGCCGGCAGATTGCTTCCAGAATGGACTCACTCCGAAATAAAAGTTTCGGGCGTGTTGTCCAGAATCTAAAAGGTAGCCAAGGTCCTGAAATCTCATCCCAAACCCGTTCCACCTCTCAGAGTCGAAAGTGATGACGATCGGCTTTTAATCACCCCACAGGAGAAAGCAAATGCGATCGGCAAGCATGTCGCTTCATCGCATTTGCTTGGCTCGACGATCCAAAGTCCGCTCGATGATCAGGATGCGCAATGCGTTCAAAACCTAGATGTCTCCCCTTGTGTCGTGCCTCCGGCGGATATGATTACAGTACAACAAATTTGCTCAGTGCTGAAATGCACCAAGAACATGAAGGCTCCCGGGTTTGACGGTATATTCAACTTGATCTTGAAGAGACTCAGCATGAAAGTGCATTCTCTTCTAACCGCTATCTTCAACAGATGCTTGGAACTGCACTACTTTCCAAGCATCTGGAAAGTAGCAAAAATCATACCAATCTGCAAGCCCCGTAAGAATCCAACATTGCCTTCAAGCTACAGACCAATCAGCCTCCTTTCAGCGCTGAGCAAATTGTTCGAAAAACTCATTTTCAATCGTTTGCTCAAGTTTGTCGAGGAAAATAACATTCTCCTTCCGGAAAAGTTCGGGTTCAGAAAGGGGCATTCCACCTATCACCAGCTAGTACGGGTGATCAATAACATCCGAAGTAACAAGGCTGTATCCAAGTCCACAGCCATGGCCTTGTTAGACGTTGAAAAGGCGTTTGACAATGTTTGGCATGACGGACTTGTGTACAAGCTTTGTAACTTCAACTTTCCTTTACATCTGGTTAAAATCACCCGTAACTACCTCCAGCAAAGGTCGTTTAAGGTATCGTTGAATGGTTGTCTTTCAGGCACGTTTTCCATCCCAGCAGGAGTCCCGCAAGGCAGTCTGCTGGGCCCCTTGTTTAACAGCATTTATACTTCTGACATTCCTCCCCTCGGTGACGGTTGCGTGTTTTTCCTGTTCCCAGATGATACGGCAATAGCCGTCAAAGGAAGGATGCCTCGCGAAATAACAAATAAGCTCTAACGATGCCTTAACATCTTTGCTGATTATGCCACCACGTGGAAAATCAAAATCAATGCCTCTAAAACACAAGCGATCATGTTCCTCCATCGGCAATCACCGAAACTGAAACCGGCTCCATCTTGTACTGTAATCATGGATGGCACAAGGGTTGAGTGATCTGCCGAAGTAACCTATCTCGGGATGTTGTTTGATGAAAAGCTCCTCTTCCGTGCGCATGTAGAGAAAACAGTAGTCAAGTGTTCTACCTTGGTTAGGTGTCTGTATCCGCTGATTTGCCGCAGATTCCGCCTCTCAAGGGTGAACAAACTGGCCGTCTATAAACAAATCATAGCACCTGCGATCCTCTACGAAGCTCCGGTGTGGGAATCATGTGCACAGACTCACAGGAACAAAATTCAGGTCGCTCAGAATAGAGTGCTGAGGACGGTTCTTGATCGTCCTTTCGACACTACAATAACAAATTTACACGAAGAGGCAGGCATTGCCAAAATAGATTCCAAAATTAACGAAATTAGCACTAAATTTACACAGAACATGCTTTGATAAGAAATTTGTATATAGTAGATTAGGTGTATATAGTAGTTGTAGGTTAGTTGTAGTTGTAAATAGTAGTTACAAGTAGTCTCCTTTTTTCAAATTTTAAAACAAACCAATCCCACCAAGGTCATTCTCTAAAACAGGCCTGATAGGACTAGGAACTGTAATTAATAATAATTGAAATTTCACAGGAACTAAAGTTGAAAAGACGCATCTGTGTAACTTGATAAGTTATACATGTAAACCACACAAATTCAAAAAATATAGATCATTAAAAAAAAAAAAAGAAGCTCTATCTACTGTTTCCAACTATCGCAATTCCTCAGGAATGCTTGTGTGATTACGAACCCACGTTTCAATAAAATTCTATTTTGAGAACATTTTTCATTCTTTAGTACTATTAGAAACTAGAAAGTTAGAGTTTTTCACCAAACAAACCTTTTTCATGTCCATATGTAATATTCATAGAAAAAACACGGCATACATTTAGACGCAGTGCGAAAATTACATGAATAGGTCCAACCAAAATCTATTAACCTACACCGGAGCCAGTTGAAACGCGTGGGGAAGTTGAAACGGTAGATGTATCTCTTAGCGGATGTGAATAATCACTGAGATTATTTCTAATATAGTTTGCGGTAGTACACAATGCCCCTCAAAAATAATTACAGTTAATATTCACTTCCACTAAGAGATACACTTTTTGTTTCAACTCGCACCGGTGTACCTTAACTATGATGTTTACTATCAACATATTAAACAGGTGGAGACCCTGTATGCGAGCTTTTGCTCTGATTTTGAAATTCAATAGCTGAACACCCTAATTTTCAATTAATGTTGTACTAAGCACCTACACAGATAAAAATTCTGAATTTTAATAGTGATGTAAATATTCATTCCCGTAAACTTGTATTTCATTTCACACAACCGAGCAAATTGTAAACAATGTTGTTTACAACAATGGGCTATTGTATACAATATTTGCTACATTGCACGAAATGTCGCAGAACTTTATAATGTAAACTTTTATGAAATGTGACGCTCTATTTATGTGCATCATACTGAACTGAAATTTACACTACTTTTTTGAACTGTGTACTTATTGGAAACCAACCGTTCAATTTGAGAAATGTCACAGTATTCTATTTTGCAATCATTCTACGAACACGATGTAAAGTACATAATGATGATGCATGGTAATTTTATGTTAGGTTTGTCCTCCAAATTGGAGAACAAAGAAGTGCTTAAACCCGTATGATCGTTATACCCCTTCCTCCCCTACTTCGTTGACATATGAACCAACATTTTGTTCAATATTTAAAGTACCGTGTTCTGACAGGTAAAACAACTACCTGTTGCGTTATCATAAAATGCAATCTTCACATTCTCTGCTTCAGAAACCTAATTTAAAATTAATGATGGAGCTACTGAAAAAAATAAATGTATTTTTTTTTTCAATTGTTTCATCCCACAACATACACGGCATTTTTGTGTACTATATTGAGGTGCAATCAACAAAACAATGTGTGACGATATAGTGTCAGTTCCTATTGTAGTCGATGCCGATGTAAAATTTAGTGTGCACAGCAAAATAACTCAACATTGATCAACCCAAAGTAGTTATGTTGGGGAAAATCTGTCAATTCTTAATCATTACATTAAATTTAAATACATTATCTCATGCGTAAGATGAACCGTGGTCTGATTATGCTAACATGAATTGTCGCGAGTTTTGAACCATAACCGAAACATTGAAATACTTGAAAAATTTAAGCTAAAGTATAACAATCAAAAATGCATGACATACATCAATTTTGCGTAGTTCTACTTCATACTGCGGTCGTGTCTAGGACACAACCCTTTAATTTTTTATTAAATTCCAGTGGCATCTTGTATACTCGGAGGATGGACAAATACAAACTTAGAAAAAATAATTTAAATTTAGGTGCTTTGAGACTGACATATACGAGCGTCAATTTTGACATAAAATTCAGTCATAATAGACGCAAAGTTCAGCTCAATCAAACGTACTTTTGAACTTTTCAGTCTCGGAGCACTTAATTTTACACGACATGTTTGTTTACGTCTCATCCTTTATGTCAAAGATGGATTCCTGTGGGCAAAATTTCATAAAATTGTGAGACCCTCCACCCAAACCTGTTCGAGAATAAAAAAAATCACGGGATTAAAGGTCGGATGTTCCTTTTCACCAAAACTAAAAGAATGTAAAGCAAAGAAGTCTGTCAACACTGCTGGAAAAACAAAGTTCTACAAAAGCAATTCACTTAATGGGCCCTAGTCATGGTCGTCCCCTTCCACCGCATATTCCAGTTCCTAGTAACATCCCACAGCTCACACATCTTCATGCACTAATATTATTTTCATTTTTCTCTCCTTCCCTCATAAAGGTACGGCTGCATCGAATCCTTATGCATTTGGTATCGTCACCCGAACAATCGTGGCCTGTTGGTGGTAAGGCTTTTGCATGTCCCCTTTTTGCAACAGCTATCCCCCGAAAAACGCATTACCTACTTAGTTCTACCCAACGCTTTTTCTTGGCGGGTTTCAAATCATTCAACATCACAGCGATTGGTTGAAAGCCCGCCGAGAAAAAGCGGTTGGTAGAACTCATTAGGTAACGCTTTCATCGAGGGAAAGCTGTATGTCCAACAGACTCAGGCAACACACCCTCTTCTCGGCAAGGTACAACCAAATTAACCTTTAATCTCGGTTTGCCGATGACCATAACAGCCTGCACTTGCTCGAGCGTTGGGAGGTGCTAAGTGAAGGTGATGGGGGGATTAGCTTTACACAGCTCTAGTCAGAAAACACCCAGAGATTCAACACACATATACAACCGCATTGCCTCTGTCTCTCTTCTTTTTCGTTCACAGTCGGATGCACTGATTTATGCCGTCCTGTCATTCATCTGCTTCATCCTGACAATGATCTGCATCCTGTGTCTTCGTTTCCAGAGTACCAGAGACAACACGCTCCAGGAGACCCTCGCTTCGACTGCCATTGTTTGCTTTCTGCTGCTGGTGGTAGGTATTTAACATCTTGTGTCTAGATTATTATGGCTACAAGAAGCACTATAGTAAACGATACCCAGCTCGTCGTCGGTCGTCGTCGACGTATCCGCAAGAGACCACGTGGGCTGTCACCGTGTGGGTATGCGCCCGCCTGGCAACGACCGACGGCTTAATGAGTTCTTTTAAATATCCGTGTTCCGTCTGGTGGTTCGTCAGAGAACGGTGTTTGAAGTCAAAAATTTTCTGTTAAACTTCAAACCCGCTATTTACTAACTTTTTTTTTAATAAGCTGATCACAAAAATGCATATGAAGCTTGTGCAGTTGCAGGTATAAGCACATAGAATAAGCAGACAATGGATTACCGTAAACTGCTAGTTTTGATGTCACAACTACTGACAGCATGGTGCCAACTTCCTATATGGGAAAAAAGTTATTCAAGAAATAATGTATGAAGATTTTCATATTTTTTGCAAAAATATAGATTTTAGAAGGCGAAGACAGAAAAAAAAAATATTTGGTAGTAAGATAAAGTTTGGTAAAAATTAAAGCTTTAAACTGTACCAAATATCCTTTTCGAAAAAGTTTATAATTTTTAAAAATAAACATTTTTCGCCGAAATAAATCGCCGTAACATTTTTTTACCAGCGGAATCTGTTCCGAAAATCACCCATGCTGGAAATCCATTATTAAACTCAGCTAACTGAATACAGTCATACCTCGATATAAAGCAACGTTACGTTATATCGAGTTACGTTATATCGAAGCAAAAAAAAAATTATTTTTTTAAATCGAAAATTGTTTATCGTAACCCAAAGATGACCCAATTTTCTTTTCTAGTCATCTAACAGGCTTACAAAACCTTTCTTATATAATTTTCCCCAATTTTATTAGATAAGTTCTCAAAGCTTACATGAAAGATATGAAAATGAAAAAAAAGTACTAGAGTCTGTGCCTAGGAGCACGAACGGAAGGTTGATGTAGTACCGCGATTGGTCGGTGCACTTGTTTTTGTGCCTAGTTCTTTTCGTTGTTTAAAATCTATATCCTTAAAACTTTTTAAATATTTCAAATGGTGCCGTTTGTGTGAACATGGAATCGATACCAACAGTGAATGAACTGAGGCACCGGTGGTTTAGTGGTAAACGTGATTGCCTCTCATCCCAAAAGGCCTGGGCTTCAATCCGTGCCTGTGGGGTATTTCTGAGGCATAAAATCTCTGATCACGCCTTTCTTCGGAAGGGAAGCAAAGCCGTTGATCCCCGGTCCATGAGTTGATGGGTCAATAGGGTAGGGTCCAGGTGTGGGAGCTGGCTTCCTGGCGTCGGTAGCACTGGTATTCAGTACGGAAAGCAAGATCGACGGAAAACAAATGTAGGAAAAAATAGTAAATCAACTTTTTAGTACAACCGCTGCATTGTTTTAATATTACCGATGAGTTTTCTAGCGGTGTCTCATAGCCTAGTCAGTAAAGACACGGTATTACCAAGCCAGAGGCGGTGGGTTCGATTCCCGGTCCGGTCGAGGGAATCTTTCGGGTTGAAAATTTTCTTGACTTCCCTGGGCATAGAGTATCATTGTGCTTGACATACAATATACAAATTCATGCATTGGTAATGCATTGAGGCGAATCTAGGAACCTAATTAAACGTGCCACACAAAGAAGAAGTGTTAGTTTGTGATGTCCGTGCGAGAGAATATAGATTCATCCCATCCGTAAGTGATTCTGATGAGTACGCGACATATTCATATTTTATTTGTTAAATTTCTTAATTGTTCAATTGTTCTATTTTCACTATTTGTACTATACATACATCAAAAACTACAAAGGACAGCCCTATAGGGTTGTACGCAATGGTGACGTAGGACTACGTGGTCTTATATGAAAAATCTTATTTGTTAACTGCAGAAGGAGATTTTTAACAAATTTATGGTGGTCCAGAAAAGGACCATTTTGTCGTGATGATTGAGTAATGCTGAGCTAATATTAGGGTGTTCAACACTGATGAAGCTGACGAGCTGTTTGTTGTTTGGAACGAGATTGACGCACTTGTCATAGATGGCCCACAGCGGCTCACGACGCGCAACTGAATCCGATCAGTAGTGGTGCGGCTTCTTCCTCTTTCTTCGGTGAATCCAGGGCTCTTGTGGGCAGCCTTGATAGTTAGCTGCTTGCAGGCAGCCTTTCATTATGTAGTGGAAAACGCCACGCGCCGAAAGCACTGCTGCTGCTAATGACGATCGGACACCACCATTCACCACGCACGGTGATTGAGTAAACACCGTTCGGCGAGACAGAAGGGAATTCGATTTTTAAATTTGTGTTAAGGAATGCGTGCCTGCAATCGGTGATATTTTTGATCGCCATCGCAACAGTTGCACATTCGAACAATTTTCAATAGTGACCTTTTGTAAATTGATAGTCTTATTCTCATTTGTAGAAAAATTTCCAATCAATTGGTGTTTACGAATTAAAATCCATCATCTCTGGATCAAAATCAAATCACTTTCATGCCGCGACCAACTTTGGTTTTTGTAATTGTGGGTTGTCTTAAAAATACATGGTATGTTAGATTGAAACTTATGGGAACTGATATCCGATTAATGACCTTGTGAAATGTCCAGAAAAAAACTATTTAACAAATTTATGGTGGTCCTGAAAAGGAACGTTTTGTCGTAATGGTTGAATAATGCTGAGCTACTAGTAGGGTGTTCAATACAGATAAAGCTGGCGAGCTGTATGTTGTTTGGAACGAGGGCGATGCACTTGGAATAGATGGCCCACTGTGGCGTATGACGCGCAACTGAATCCGATCAGTAGCGGTGCGGCTTCGTCCTATTTCTTCGTAGAATCGAAGGCTGAATCGAGAGCATGCAGCTAGCTGCATGTCGGCAGGCTTTCATTATGTACTGGAGAACGCCAAGCGCTAAAAGCACAGCTGCTGCTGCTGATGACGACCGAACACCACCACTCACCACACGCATTGATTGAATAAACACCGTTTGGCAAGACCGGAGTGAAATCAATTTTTAAATCTGTGGTAAGAAAAGCGCTTTTCGCAGGCAATCGATGATAATTAAAATTATGATAGCAACAGTTGCACATTCGTGCAATTTTCAATAGTGACCTATTGACAATTGATAAAGTGTTCATTTTAACAGATTTGTAGATGACTTTCCAATCGATTGGCTTGTTTAGAATTAAAATCCATCCAATATGGACAGAGTTATAACTGTTCAAAATCTTTCATAATTTTGTTACGTGTTCCATTTTGGGTTTTCACAATAGAGATCACAGACGTAGTCCTACGTCAAAATTGCTGGATGTTTTCTCCGTCGAATGAAATATTTCCCAGTATGTATTGGTTTATTTCTACATTTATAAACTTTTCGTTACATGCCTCCCATGCCTGAAATAATAAAAAGCTGAGAGAGAGGAGACAGCTTTGCTATTGATCACGCAAACGTCATCGAGATCCAGTCATGAACTGTCACTGCAAACTAGGCCGAACATTAGAAATGGGGCTATCATCCTTTTGAAAACAACTTTTTTCGTGTGGGCCCAGGCTTGCCTTCGCAAACCAACAACACGATTGGGTAGGGGAGAAAAAAAAGAAGGCAAAGAAAACAAACCATTCGTCATTGAGCTGGCTTCGCTCTCTATGATAAAAATGATGTTTATTCAAGAAGGCGGCTATGGCGTATTCGGCCCCAACTTAGATACCAGCAGAGGCCTACCTAAGACTACATCAATCTTCCCGGCTGAGGCAGCTGCCACCTTCTCAGCCGTTACGGAGTCCAGTTTTCCTGGAAGGCCATCATTACCGATTCGGCCAGTGTGCTGAAGGCCCTTGAGAGTCCGAAGAACTGACACCCGTTGGTGCAAGCAATCATAATGGCTTCGAACAGTAACACCGTATATGTCTGGGTTCCCAGCCACTGCACCATCAGTGGAAACGATGCTGCGGACAAGCTGGCAGCGATCGGCAGATCGAAAACCCCAGTAGAACCGGAAGTCCCTGCAGCGGACTTAAAAATCTGGATCAAAACGATCATCGCTTTGACATGGGACAAGGAATGAGCTAATACCCGAGACCCTTTCTTACGCAAAATAAAAGGAGATACGAAATGCTGGTCCGACACCAAAAACTGGAAGGACCAGAGAGTACTGTCCAGATAACACAGCGGCTACACCAGATTCTCACATTTCTCGGATCCCGTGATGGATTCCACAAACAATGTATGGGGTGCTCAACCAAAATGTCAGTTGAGCATCTCATAATAAATTACCAATGCGGTATCGGTCTCAGCATCAGACACGCATTATCCAATGACTCAGACAGGGAAAGATCACTTCTCGACTTCCTTAAAGACACAGGCTATTATCAATATACGTAGAACCCCGCAACAAACAATGCCACGACAACGGACGAACGACGGCACTTGGACAACACCAGCTCTCTAAATGACATGTCAAACGGAAGAACAACGATGACAACCCCGCAGGCTACGGACATTGACCTCTCTCTCGGAAATTAACCACAACTTCGTTCACCTTCCTTACTGTTAAAATAATCGACACAGAACTCTGAGATACTTAAACTCTGTAACAAACACTATGTAATTTATTTATTTTCTCTCTCCGGGACCCCCTCAGGAGCCCCAATCCTTCAAAGAGACGAACCAGTTACAGGCTGAAAGTCTCTATAAAAAAGCAAAAAAAAATGTTTATTCAACCCAGCGTTACTTGAAAAATTTAATAATACTATGTATAAAATAATTTAAAATGGATTTGTAACGTTCATAATCGATTGTGAGTTGATATTTTTCAATTTTTAGACTTAAAAAAAAGTTACGTTATATCGAGGTGAAAGTTACGTTATATCGAGTTACGTTATATCGAGTTACGTTATATCGAGTTACGTTATATCGAGGTTGCTTTATATCGAGGTATGACTGTACCGCTCTTGGATTCCCGTCGGATAATTCAACTAATGGCTGCACCGCAGCATCTTCTCTTGAACGCTGCTGATCCACATTAACCCGAGCACAACGGTCGGCAAACGCCTATCCATATCAACAAGACTGATTTCGTTCTTCCGTTTTTCAGCTAATTGTGTACCTAACCAACCTCTTCGTACTGGCAAAGGATCACATCATTCCCTGGTATAGGTAAGTTCCAGCAATAATAGCACCGGCACGTGTTTTACGATGGTTGCAGCCTTGATGCGAACCGGATAGTGGTTTTGAATAGTAAAGGGAAAGGGTGTAAAACACGCCAGTGGGGTAATATTACCATCAGCATTTTTGCCTGAACTTTCAAACAAAATGTAATGGATTTACATCCAGAACTGCTTGATTGGCTGCTGTTAGTGGAATGTCCTTGAAAAAATGTCGATGGTCATATTAACCCGCTAGCGCGCATTACACCCAGTTCCCCGACCACAATTTCTGTTTTCTGTTTCATGTGTTTTCATCCCCACCCCCTTTCTCTCTCTCTATCGACAGATGGTGGAGATCATCCCAAAGAATACGTCTCTCGGAAATTACCCTAGATGAAGCAATCAGTGATGCCAACTCATCGATTGTGGTATGAGAGCAAGAATCCTTGATGGCGAATTTTCATGCCTTGATCTCGATAATTTCTTAAGGAATTGTTAATAAAACTTTGAAATGTGTGTTTAACTCTTTCCCGATTATGGCATCTCTGATTCACCATGTTTTTTGGCATTGTGAGCTATAACTTTCTGAAATTACAACCGATGTTTTAAAAAATATTATAATATACACGCAAACCAAAAATTTATTACATTCAATGTTAGTTGCATTTCCTATCATCCTCCGCAGCGAATATTGCACAGCTCAGCAAACAAGGAGTGGCAATTTCAAATTTGTATGTTTTGTGGAAGCTGACATTTGTGCCTTTAAAGTTTCACGCTAACAGTAGGTTCAGACTACAGAGTTATAACATGTTATAGCGCTACCTTGATGGTGGTTTCTGTGTTGCAATTATTTGACAACCGTTATAACATGTTATAACTCTCCAGTCTTCCTTAGAGTATCACCTTATCCAGTCCACATTTTTCGGACTCCAATTTTCTTGCACTAGACCGCAGCTCGGTATATCTCATCTTCCGTTCATGCGCTCTCCATTAACATCCTGTGATGATGCATCCCACATAAATAATTATACGCAAATCTTACATCCCCTGGTTGGGTGTAGTCATCTATTATCGGAAGAAAATACTGGATACTAGTTTTCAAAATTGATTATCCCAAAACACTCTGGGCGGAAAAGGGTTTATTAGGCTGGTGAATTTTAATACTAACAGAAATTGAAATAATTATGTACTAATTAAATTATTCCTTTATGGTCGGGTAATGCCAAACGGGTAAAATATCAACTTCCAAAACGGTCTTGCCCAAATAGATAAGTTTGCCCAACACCAGATCTGTCACGGTATATTTAGAGCATGTTACCCACAAATGTTTCATGTCCATCCGCTCACCTTAAATCCATGCGCCCATCCATAAATGTAATATATAAATTTAAACACAATTAAAACTAGAAGTCTAGTAAGACTTGTCTTTCCTCAGCTCGCCATAAAACTTCAAAATATTTAATAATGCGATTTTGGAATTTCTGTTTATTGGTAGATCAAAACGATACGATGATTTATGACCGAGTTTTGGCCTTTTTCAGTGCAAAGTTTTACCAGAGTAGGCTGCGCGTGTGAACGGAGTTGTTTATGCTTATTTGGTTATTAATCCGGTTAACATTTTCGAAGATGGCCAAGAACGCGATTATCCGTTTCAAAAATAATCAAACCATCTATGCAGAAGAAACCCTGGGAGAACTGCATCCCATCCCTAAGGGATATTGACTGTACGTTATGCTGCTGTACTGACTGTGATTTTCCGCTGACATACGGTTTCGAAAACGAAGAGGAACCATCATTGGAACCTAGATATTCCATTGTTCGTCGTATTCGCGTCAAGAAGTTGCAAGTTCCTGAAACTGATACTTGGCTACCTTAACTCGGATCCAGCAATCGACTACAGCCGATTATCTTTTATCCCAAGCCGGAGGATCACTACATTTGGACACTTCAAACTGGTTCTACATAGGACAGGCCTAGTTTATGTTGATCTCCATCAAGCGAACCGTCTTTGATTTGAACTACAATTCAACAATAGCACGGATGCTTCCTGTGGATTCATTTGGACTAATTTGGTGAGATCGTATCTGATTTTATCTATGTATTTAAACTAAATTTACATGATTCTCTTAAATTTGACAAATTCTTAATGGAGTTTTTTTCCACGCATCCCATTTTTGTGTCTTTCTAATGATTACACCTAGATCTCTAACAATTTTGCATTTTTCTACTATTTGGTTGCCTTATGATATTTCAATATGCGGTGTTTCAATTTTTCCGCTAAATTCTATTGCGGTAAATTTTTTGCCGTTCAGTTGAAGTAAACTTTTACTACATCAGGTGTGGAATATATTGATTTCATTCTGGAATTCTCTGCATCGCTGGAATTACTTATTTCCATGAAGAGCTTCATGTCGTCTGCATATAGAAGCAGTTTAATTTACATACTTAAAGGAAATGTCGTTTATGTACAAAATAAAAATAAGTGGGCCTAAATGAGAACCCTGGAGTACCCCAGAGGTGACTGGAATTGGTTCTGAAAGTTTATTTTGAAAGCGAACTATTTGTTTACGATGTGTTAGGTATGATTGAAGCCAATTCAAAAGTCTAGGCTCCATTCCTATTTTCTGCAATTGAAGATAAATAATGGTATGTCGATGCGGTCAAATGCTTTACTGAAGTCGGTGTATAGCGCTTCAACGTGCTTGCCACTGTCCATCGCTTTAAGAATGAAAGATACATATTCTAGAAGATTAGAGGTAGTTGAGCGACCTTTAAAAAACCATGCTGTTTACTTGTAATTAGATTTTTCACCTACTGAAAAACATTGCCGTTTACGATAGATTCAAAACGTTTTGGAATGCAAGAAATAATAGCAATTCCACGATAATTTCAAATGTCTGATTTTGCGCGTGATTTGAAAATATGTACCAAATAAGATGATTTCTAAATTTCGGGGAATTTTTCATTTTTCAGAGATCTGTTGAAAAGACGCTCTAGAGGAAATTCGAGTTGTTCAGAAAGATTTTTCGTCCATTTCATTTTCGTAGTAACGTGGAAGAGGAACTTGGTCGTAATATTCTTTTTTAAGGGGGAGTACACTTTGATTTTTCAAAAAAAAATGCATTTTTTTTTTTGCTTAAAATGTTCCATGGGATGTATACTTTAAATTAAAAAAGACTCCAAGTCCGCCAGAATATTCCTTGCCGCTTTACGAAGCGATTTCCCAAAACATGTACCGGCGCGCTGAGAGAGCAATCTTATCTTTAAACGCGTTTATCTCGAAACGGGGTTTTTCAAACTGGCGTGGGAAATAACTCTAACCAGTTATCATCAAATTTGGATATCGCCTAGGTTTTATTGTTCAAAGTTAAATTCTGCTTAGAAATACGTATCCACATTTTCGATTTTGTCAAAAATGGATTTTTAATTCACGATTTTGTATGCATTTTTAGGGTGAAAAAATGGACTTTTTTTCCTAAGGCCATAACTTTTGAAATAATTAATTAAAAAAAAATCGGAATACGTATTTGTAACCCAAATTTCATTATTTTTGTTCGATTTATGTTCCAGGATCACATGGAAAGGAGTATTTTCCCACGCCGTTTTCCGACTTTCACGCGACCTGTTGCACCGGCCACGGGGAGACGCCAATCGAGTTCAAAAAAATACAAATTGTAGTTCGAAGGATGACTAATAAATGGGTTATAACTAGGGTTATAACATATTTGCCCTCCCTGAGTGTTTCATTGCTTTAAAAAATTAACGAAAATGCCTTACTTTTTGGACGTTCAAAGTGTAATCGGTGGCCTTGTGGTGACCACTTTTGCTTACTGAGCAGAAAATCATGGGTCAATCCCAAGCTCTGTAACATTATAGAGTTAAACTTGAAATCGACTTTCTTTCATAATACGATGTAAAGCGTAACGAAATGCAGATGGAGGGCAGGGTACGTAAGAGAAGTAATATTTGAGTTTAAGAAAATCCGTTTTGATCGGAAATCCATATCAAATCCTTCTCAAGAGCAGTTGTTGTCGTCATCGGTGAGGTCATCGCCGGGATCGAAACCTAGTAACAACAAATTGAACGGAAACTTGATCGTATTTTTGGTGATATAAGGAGCTTGGAGCCCTAGTGGCGACTGATTTTGCTTACTGAGAAGAAGACCGTGGGTTCAAACCTAAGGAGTCAACACCGAACCAGGAACGGAAATTAGTGCGGATTTATCTTCCTCGGAAAACAAGAAAAACCCGGAAAAGGCGGAATCATGTTAGAACCAACCAAGGACGATCTACGGAAGGAAATTACCGGTGGAGCACGGAATGAAAAAAAAATGTACAATGTGATAGAATGCATCTTTGTTTACCCAAACATATCGGAAAACTATCGTGCAATTTTTATTTTATGGCCAAAATCTGAATGGGACTGACTTGCGATTACATATAACGTCAATGAGAAAAATAACCACAAGTCAGTCACAATTCCATGACGATGCTGCATTAGGATTAAACAGTAGAAAGATACCATGGTCCCATAGAATGTTATTGAATATTTCTGGATTTGTTCCACTGGTTCCAGAGCAATGGCCGCAACATATTCCGGTAAGTATGGGTCTTCATCAGACCAGAGCTTTTCATAAACCATTCGATAAGCGGCGCCGGTGGTGTAGTGGTAAGCGTGATTACCTCTCACCCCAGCAGGCCTGGGTTCAATCCCAGTCGGCGCCGCCGGGATGTTCTGAGGCATAACATCTCTGATCACGCCTTCCTTCGGAAGGGAAGTAAAGCCGTTGGTACCCGGTTCATGAGTCTATGGGTCGATAGGTAGGGTCCAGGTGTGGGAGCTGCCTCCTTGGCGTCGATAGCATTGGTGCTCAGCACGGAAAACAAGATCAACGGAAAAACAAACCAAAGGAAAAAAAACCATGTGGTAAATCAATTTACATGAGAATTCAAAAAGAAAATCAATAAGAGCCATGATGAGTGACCAGGCCCATGTTGGCCACACCAAGACATGTTACGGGTATCCCCGGGGATAAATCAAAATCCATCAAGCGATACATCAAATCACATGAGAATTTAAAGCCATACCCTTTGCTCACAGACAAACAGACGTAACTCTTCATTGTGAATCTTCGTTCATGCATTTAACGGTTGATTTGAATATTATCAGTTCCGCGAACTACTCGCCGCAGCGCTGGAATCGGATCACTTTGACGTTTCTATATATTATATAGAACTTTTATGCAATATTGTTTACGAGTTAGCGAGCAAGCTTGTTTTCCGCGAGAAGCCAAATAGATGTCGCTACTGAGGTTATACGTTTTGAGATACTAAGTTTTCAAGAACAAGTTTTTCAAAGAGTTACGTCTGTTTGTCTGTGCTTTGCTGGTCGAACTGAATATCGCCTATGTCTGAGTGCACTTTTTTGCAACTTT